AAAATAGATATATTCAAGGTACAAATTCAAGGTGAAAAGTATCAGGGACGAAGTCTAAGGAATAGGCAGACTATCAGGAGCTCAACCACGTGAAAATATCAAGTTGATAGTTGGATATAGAGGACTAGAATGCAGGGGCAAAGTTCAGAAGCAAAATAAAAGCTGAGATATAAATTTGGAGTCATCAGCATATACATGGTATTTAAAGTCATAAGACTGACTGAAACTATCAAGGAAGTGTTTGCAGGAAAAGGGGTTCAAAGAGTAAACTCTGAACCATCCCAACATTTTGCCATCAGAGAGATGAAGAGGAGCCAGCAAAACGATGTAGAAGTAGCCAGAAAGATAGGAGGCAAACCAGGAGAGCATGATGTCCTGGAGCCATGTGGAAAAGATGATTACAAAGAAAAAGAGTGATTGGCACTTTCAAATGTAGCTGACAGGTCAAGTAAGAGTAGGGCCAAGTAAAATGACCTTTGAACTTAACAATCTGGAGGTTGGTGGTGACCTTGCTAGGAGTAAGTTGGATGATGGAACTGGGGCAAAGACCTGATTAGAGTGGGTTCAAGAGAGAAAAGAAATTGAGACAGTGAGTTTACACAGGTTTTGAAAGGAATTTTTCTGTGAAAAGGGTGAGAGAAATGGAGCAATAACTGGCAGAGGAGGTGGATCTAAGAGAGCTGTTTGTTTTTAAGTAAAATGTTAAGAAAATAAACATCATGTTAGAGAGGAAAAAGTCAGTGGTACTGAGAGAAATGAGAAAATTATTGAACTGATGACCTTGAATAGAAGAGGTCTAGTGTGCAAGTAGAGAAGCTGGCAGTAAATAGGCAGCATACAGTTAAGTTCATCCACAGATAACAAGAGAGAAAGAAGATTATACAAGTACAAATTTAGATAATTAGGGAGATATGGTGGCTAATAATGGGGCTTCCCAGGTGACTCAGTGGTAGAGAATCTGCCTGCTGAGGCAGGAGCTGCAGGAGCTGCTGCTGCTGCTGCTAAATCGCTTCAGTCGTGTCCGGCTCTGTGCGACCCCATAGACAGGCTCCACAGTCCCTGGGATTTTCCAGGCAAGAACACTGGAGTGGGTTGCCATTTCCTTCTCCAATGCAGGAAAGTGAAAANGTTAAATCAATAAAGGAAAGGAGCCTGTGGAGTTCAAAAGGATTGTTGGAGTTGGGGTACTAGAAGGAGCAAGCTGGAAAGAGATGATGTTTGGAGAATGAATTATTTGAAACTGAGACTATGGAAGGATTGCAGTTTTCCTCCCCCACCCCCCACCCTGCTTTTTTTGTGATGATAAAGTCAAGGTTATGATGAATGGATCAAGGGTTATATCTCTGAAGAAGAATAGATCAAAGAATTGTGAGGCCAGGTGTTGGAAAGAGCTGTATGAACATTGAAATTGCCGGTGATGACTGCCGGCTCATTCGGTAAAGAGTCTGCTTGCAATGCAGGAGACCCGAGTTCGATCCCTGGGTTGGGAAGATCCCCTGGAGAAGAGAATGGCAACCCACTTCAGTATTCTTGCCTGGACATTCCCATGGACAGAGGAACCTGATGGGCTACAGTCCATGGAGTCACAAAGAGTCGGACATGATTGGGCAACGAACACACACCACACACACACACACACACACATGACAGAAGTACTGGATTGAGTTACAGTGAGTAAGGAAGAGGTAAAAGATTTCAACAGAGAGAGCAATGGACGGCATTCAGTCTAATGACAGGAGATTTAAAGTTAAATCTTATTAGAAACTAGGAGAGAATGATCTGGAAGTAGCATTGAGGAGCGAGGAAGATCCCTATCTCATTTCCAGGCCAAGTGAATAAGAGGGATGAGAGTTAAAATAGACAACATTTGACGGACTTCCCTAGCGGTGCAATTAAGAATCCGCCCGCTGGTTCAGGGGACGTGGGTTCAACCCATGGTCTGGGAAGATTCCACATGCTGTGGGTCAGCTGAGCTCATGTGCCACAATTACTGAGCCCCCTGGGCCACAGCTACTTAAGCCAGAGCGCCTAGAGCCTGTGCTCCCCAACAAGAAAAGCCACCTCAATGAGAAGCTGGAACCCTGCAACTAGAGTAGCCACTGCTCATCGAAACTAGAGAAAGCCTGGGCAACAACGAAGACCAAGTGCGGCCAAGAATACACAATAATTAATTAATTTAAGTAAATAAATAAAATAGACATCATTTGAGTGGGTTGCAAGTGAGGAAGTATTATCAGTATTATCAGGAAAGAGCAAGGGGTCAGTTATTGCTTTGCATATTTTGAGGTTACAGTGTTATAATCATCTTTATTAACAATATAGGTGCATGATATTCTCTCTATATTCTTTATCTACTATCTCCCTTTGCCCCAGTTATGCTTCTTGCCTTGAATTTATTTTTGCCTGTTATTACATGTCTGCTTTGCCTTGGCGGGTGTTGGGGTGGGGTGTACATATTTGTCTCTTTCTATCTCTGTGTTTTAACTTTGTCCTGTCCTCCTTTTTAAAATTTTAATGGCGTTTAGTTGATCTACAGTGTTGTGCTGTTTTTTGCTCTACAGCAAAGTGAGTCAGTTATACATATAATATCCATTCTTTTTTTTTTTCTTCTTTTTTGTCACTAGGATGATTGTTCATGTTGTGGTTGTTCAGGGAGAAAATTTGAACAATGTGGAAAGTGCTTGTGTTAAATAAAAGATGCAGAAAAACACACGTGTTTATAGAATATGAGCGCAGGATGTACAAAGTAGGAGAGAAGATGAAAATATACCAAAATGTGAAGGAAAATAGAAAAGACATGAGGAGGGAGAAGTTTGTAAAAATCAACCTTCTCAAGATTGCCTCTGCTGCTGCTAAGTCGCTTCAGTTGTATCCAACTCTGTGCGACCCCATGGACGGCAGCCCACCAGGCTCCCCCGTCCCTGGGATTCTCCAGGCAAGAACACTGGAGTGGATTGCCATTTCCTTCTCCTCCCATTCTTTTTTTGATTCCTTTTGTCCTGTCCTTCTTTTAGGTGTGACTGTTATAGACATTATATTGCTAGATCTTACTTTTAAATTAAATCTGAGCATTCTATCTTTTCTTGGTAAATTAAACTGATAAATTATGTTGAATATTTTCTTTCTTCCTAGTTTAAATTTTCTTTCATTTTTTTTCTTGCTTAGTTCCTTATATTAATCAGTTTTTTCTATGGATTTGAAAAGTATACATTTTATATTTGTTCTTCCATTGGTTATCTTTAACTTGTTAAGACTCTTTCTTGTATTTATCTTTTCCAACTTACTAAACTTATCAACACCTATCTGTGCCTTCGCCCTTAATGGAACAGATACTTTTAAAAAATTATTTATTTATGTATTTGGCTGTGCTAGTTCTTAGTTATGGCATGCAGGGTCTTTGGTCTTTATTGTGCCATGCATGATTCTTAGTTATGGCAGTGTGGGATCTAGTTCCCTGACCAGGGATCAAACCCTGGTCCCCTGCACTGGGAGCACAGAATCTTGGCCACTGGATCACCAGGGAAGTCCTAGGACAAATATCTTAATATACACTCTTACCTATCTCTGGATATTGCCACTCTCCCCCTACTTTGTTATATGTGGTATGTGTGTGTGTGTATAATGCTTATGTATATACAATGTTTTTTAGATACCAACAAGCTTTACACAACTATTTTCTCATTTTTACTAGCTTATATTTTATAGCATTTCCTAAAATTTTCATTCAATAGATTACTTCCTTCAAGAATACTTTTAAAAGGGGTCTTAATGACAATCTGATGAGACCCTAAAGGTCTGAGAATATATTTGTTATACCCTCATGTTTAAGCGATAGCTTAGTTGAATATAACTTAGCTTCAAAGTTTCTGTTTTTAATATTTTAAAAATATTTATTGTTTTCCTGTCCTTACTGTTGCTCCTGAGAAGTCTGACATCATTCTGATTCATTTTCTTTGTGGGTGAGCTGCTTTGCTTAGAATTTTCTCTTTGCTTTGGAGTTCTTAAATTTCATTAAAATATCAATAAATATTCAATTTTCCTATATCAGCCTGATTTATCCTCCCTATATGCCCTCCCAATATCAATCTTTCTTTGAAGGTTCTCACTTTTTAAAAAAAAATATCATCTTCCCTACAATAACTTTTTTCTCTCCTGTTAGGACTCCTATTATATAAATGCTGTCTTTTCTATGTCTAAATTCATTTTTTAAAATTTATTTTTATTTATTTATTTGGCTGCGTAGGATCTTCGTTGCAGCACACAGGCTTAGCTGCAGCGTCACATGTGGGATCTTAGTTCCCTGACCAGGGATTGAACCCGAATCGCCCTCATTGGAAGGCAGATCCTTAACCACTGGACTACCAGGAAAGTTTCTCTAGCCTTATATTTACTAATTTTTGTATTTTTTCCATCTCTTATTTCTTTTCAATGTCTTCTAGAAAAGTTTCTTGACTGATCTTGGGTGATGTCCTTTTTGCTGTTTATATCATCTAGTGAGTTTATTTCAATTATGCATTGAATAGTCAGTAATCCTACTTGGTTCTTCATAAATGTTTGTTTCTGCTTCATTATCAATGTCCTCTTGGGAACATTTATTTAGCTTATTGTTGTTGTTCAGTTGCTAAGTTGTGTCCGACTCTTTGCAACCCTGTATCTGCAGCATGCCAGGCTTCCCTGTCCTTCACTGTCTCCCTGAGTTTGCTCAAACTTATGTCCATTGAGTCAGTGATGGCATCCAACCATCTCAGCCTCTGTTGCCCACTTCTCTTGCTCTCAATCTTTCCCAGCATCAGGGTCTTTTCCAATGAGTTGGCTCTTCACATCAGGTGGCCAAATTATTGGAGCTTCAGCTTCAGCATCAGAACTTCCAATGAATATTCAGAGTTAACTTCCTTTAGGGCTAAATGGTTTGATCTCCTTGCTGTCTGAGGGACTCTCAAGAGTCTTCTCCAGCACCACAGTTCGAAAGCATCAATTCTTCAGAACTCAGCCTTCTTTATGGTCTTTATTTGGCTTGTATTCTAGTAATTCTTTCATCTCGAGTAGGTTATTTAATTTATTTTCTTCCTAATTGTCTAGGTACTTTCCCCTGTGAGGTCATTTTCTTTCATGAGTATCCATTATCTCAGTGGGTAATGGAAGGAGAACGAGGTGGGAAGTGTCAAACCTAGGCTTTAGCTTGTATACCACTCCTGGTGAGTGAGACAGTCCAACTTTGAATATTCTTATGTGTATTGCTCTCATCAGCGGGCTTTGCCCCTTGGTGAACTTCTCTATACCCAAGGCTTTGTTCTTTTCTAAGGATGTACTTGTCTAGCCCTCTGGATAAAGAGAAAGCCTATGAGGAAAGGTAGGAGGAAAACTTTAGATGCTTGTTTCTTGAATCAGAAGTTTACTGTTGTTTTTTTTTTTTTCCAATCCAACCTTCCAGTAGTGTTCCCCTGTGAACCTACTTTCTGGTATTGTAGAAGAGCTGATGGGAAAGGTAGTGATCTACTCTGGGCAGTGGTGGATAGAAAAGAGTCCAAATCAGGATTTCTCCCCAAATCTACTCTCCATGTTGGAAGCCTGGCCCTCCTCTGTCCAGGGCTTCTATTTTCCTTCTTTATCAAATCATAAGTATCTCCTGACCCTCCAGGGATTTCTGCTGGTTTCGTTTTCATTTTTTTTTTTTTACCCATTATTTCTGAGGTATATTTAGGCTTGGGTTGGCATGAGAGGTATATTGTACCACTTTGTCATTACATCAGGGATCATTTTGTAACAGCCTACCTTAGTGTTTGTTGAAGCTTTGTGTTTCCAGCAATTTAGACCAGAAGATATTCTTTCTTGAGTGGTAGTAGTCTGGAAATGAAGATGTTTAGCCTGAAGAACTACAGGCAGAAATAAAAAGCATAGGATAGGCAAAGCAATGTATATATATATGAAAGAGAGCAAAATAGGCATTTTACTGAAATGTTGAAATTTACTTTCAACATACTTGTATTTAATTTTACAGTCACCTGGGAATCTTCTTAAACCTGGAAACAAGACAAGAAAATCTTATTACAAATTGCTCTTGAACACATTTGTGGGAATATAGATGATTTATAGGGAAATTGAGCGCCTCCAAAACTCACAAAGTTAAACTAGTAAAATTAATATGTAATTCATATATATAAAAGTCACCTTAACAAGGCAAAATGTCTCCCAGAATAAAATCAGGAAGAGCAGAACTTGGCAGTAGTTTATATTTATTAGACAGTATTCTTACACCTAAAGTTAGAACATGGCCTGATTATTGACAATGGTTGTTATTTCTAGGCATGGACTTGTCTGTATTTTCTGGATTTTTTATGATGAACATTCATTACCTTTGTAACTGGAAAAAAATTATTTTATGGAATTTTCATAGGGAAATCATCATATAAATATACAAACCTGTACAAGGATATTTGCTGCAGCATTGTTTGCAATGTTGAAAAAGATCCAAATTTCTATCAGTGGAAGAACCATTCAATAAATTATGATAGATCTATATAATAAATATCATGTAAACAATAAAAATGACACTGTAAGCCTATATAATGTAGAAAAATTTCAAAGATTTACTGTTAAGTGAAACACAAAGTAGGTTAAAAGATGTGTCTGATATGAGTCCATTTTTGCAATCAAAAGTAAGTGCATGGAAATTTTTTGAAAAATATATGCAAGAAGTTACTACTCAATCTTAACAAATAAGTTGAACAAAGTGAAAAATCAGCAACTCTTCTTTGATTCTTCGGAGAAATGAGGTCACAGGGAAAACCACTGCCCCCAAATTGGATAGACAGATGATAGAGAATTACAGCTTAACTAAATCAGAAGCTCATGAGCAGAAACTTCTGCAGGAAGCAGTGCCTGGTAGAAAACCTAAAACTGTAACTGATGAATGGTTGGAGGCTCAGTATGAACAAGTCTGAGAGTTAAAAAATCCAGGGGACCTAGTCAAAACGACCTCCAGAACTCTATTAGGTCCTGACAGTGAAGATTGGAGAAAAATCCCATTTACCCCAGGGGACTGGGGAAGGTAACCATTCTGAAGTAGAGCAGAGCATTCTGTTCTTCTTAACAAATCTACCCTCAAGAGAAACTATTTACCAAAGTTTAACATGCTGGAGTTTCATCAGGGCCTAACCTGCTTGGAGGAAATACCCAACTCCAGTCAACTCTAGCCATCCTGTCCCATCTAAGGTGAGGTAGGGGTCAGGGTACTAGCAAGCATTGGTAAAGTTCACAGTCCAGAGGTATAGGCTCTCCAAAAGATGAGACCTAATCACAGAGCTGTAAAATGTTTCCCCTTCTCCCATACTTCACTACCATACCACTAGAGGCCTATTTGCCAGAGTTCCTTTCACCTAATATGTCTCAATTTTAATTTAAAACTTACAGAGCACACTAAAAGAAAAAAAGTACAGTTTGAAGAAGCTGAACAAGCATCAGAACCAGAGTAAGGTACAGTAGTGATGTAATTAAGATCATTACAGTCATAATTAACTATGATTAATATGCTAAGGCCATTGATGAAAAGGTAGATAGCACACAGGAATACTGGATAATGTGAATTTTCTTTAAAGAAGACTTTTCAAGAGAACTTTTAAAATATTTTGAACTAAATTAAAATGAAAATAGAAACTTATCAAATATTTTGTGCTGCAGCAAAACAGTATGCTTAGAGGGAAATTTATAGCATTGAGTGCACAGGTTAGGAAAGAAGCTTCCACCTTTGGAAACTAAAACATGAGGAGCAAACAAAATCCAAAATAATCAGAAGAAAAGAAATAATAAACATTAGAGCAGAAATTAGTAGAGAAAAGTTTGCAGATTTAACTGGGCACCTTGCTCAATTATGTGTTTATGTTTTTAAGTACAAAGCCAAATGTGTAGAAATATTAACACCATATTCAGGATCATGGTTTCTCTGGCTCATGAAGGAAAAAAGGTCATTGGTTAGGGGTACAATGGAGAAATCCACTTTTATGTGTGTTTGTATTATATATTTTTAAGTTTTGCTTTTTGGGTTTTTCCTTTCTTTTATAAAGAGCGTATTTTATTTGTGCATATGCAGATTTTTAATATTACTATGTTTCTTGCAATCTGAAATATTGATAATAAATACTGAAAAAACTTCAATAGCCCTCTAGATAAAGTCCGGGGAACCTAATATGGATTACAAACACCTTCATGGTTTCTCTGACCCTACTTACCTCTCTAATCTTCCCACTTCCAGTTTGTACACAACAGTCTCACCAGGCTGACCAATTTTCCTCAAAAGACCTCATTCCTCCTCTCCAGCACAGCCAGTCCTCCTCCCCTTATCACCCATCTTTCTCTTGATATTAAATCTTTGCTTAATTGTCCATATCTTTAGGAAAACGTCTCTGGCACGTTATCTTTGTCTGGGTTGAATACTTCTTTGTACTTCCAAAATATTTAGCACTTTCACCATCACTTACCACTTAATCATACGGTATTGCAACTGTTGATTTACTTCTCTATAGCTTCCGTTAGAATATAAACCCCAAAAGTATAGAAACTTATATCTCACTTATTCTAACATCCCTGGCCTCTGCTTAGTACTTAGCAATGATAGGCCCTCAATAAATATTTTTATAGAAATTATTTAGTTAATTAATGATAGTCTGGTTTATTTAATGTTCTTGAGGCAAGCTATAATTTTATTTTTAATGTGAACCCTGTTTTATAATCAGTATTTAGTTGGAATCATAAAATCTTACCATCCCATACTGTGGTTAGAAATTATTTCCTGGAAACAAATAAACAAAGAAACCCCAAACAGAAATCATTACCTGGAATAAAATTCTCTTCAGTCATTCACATAACAAAGTTTGGGTTAACCTAGGTCTTGCTTTTGTTTTTAGGATTAGCTCATATTAAGTGTTCATCAGATTGCATAAACCATTCTTAGGCAAATGTGATAAAGTTCTTAAAGTTGCTTTTTATTTTTATAAATTCAAATTTGGGACTATAATAGGTATTACTCTAATGTATGGTAAATATGTACTGATACCACTTGCATTTAAATGAATCAAATAAAAATGCCGTTGTTACTTGTATTTTCTTCTTAGCTTACTCTTTTGCTTCATTTTCCCTAGAGCCTGTGTGCTGCTAACTAAAGATTGTGATTTTCGAATAGCTTCTAACCCCATTTGTTAAAAAAAAAAATTATACCTTAATAGAATAATACAACTTTCCTTTTCAAACAGAAGTTTATATACCAAAATGTTAGCAGCAGTATTATCCCTGAATGGTAGAGGTCGAAAGTAATTTGTCTTCTTTGTTATACTTTCTTATGCTTTATATATTTTTGAAATTTTTTAATGAAAATATTTCAAATTATATTTTGTTGAAAACTGTTCCTTTGGGAATTCCCTGGAGGTCCAGTGGTTAGGACTCAGCACTTTCACTGCTAGGGGCCTGGTTTCAATTCCTGGTGGGGGAACTGAGATCCCACAAACCATGCAGCATGGCCAATAGATAAATAAAAACTTCTTTTAAAAAATTGTACTTTTGATAGTTGTTATCTTTTGTAATTCATCAGTATCTTATCATCCCCTACTTTAATTGTTACCTCTTTGGAGACAGAAACATATATTTATTCATTCATTCAACACTGAACTTTTTTGAATATTTCTAATGGGTCAAGATGTCAGACCTCTTGGGATACAAAGAGACAGATGCATAAACAGACCATTATAATACCTGTGGTAAATACAATGATAGAGTAATAAGCTTAGGATATTATGGAACTTGGGGAAATGGCACATAATGGCAATAGGGAAGATTAGGAAAAGCTTTCCTCAGGGGGAAAAAATATAAACTAATTAAGTCAGTAATGTTTTTGAGCTGTAAGTAACAGAATCCCTGACTAAGGATGGTTGAAACTAAAAAGTTATTCATTGCTCACCTAACAAAAAGGCCAGAGGCAGGTGTACTCAAGGTTGTTATAGTAACTTAATGTCATCAAAGACAGGGTTTTACTTATCTTCCTCCTCTGTAATTCTTTGTGTATTGTCTTTTTGGTCCTGTGGTTATCACCTCAGGGTTGCCAAAGATGACACTAGCTCTAAGCATCACATAACACATCAAGGCAGGAAGAGAAATTTCAATCCCAGTCACCCCTGTTGGAAACAGGAAGAAAGGGTACTGGGGGAATAGGGAGGTTTCTGTTTGTATATATTTTTAACTTAAAAAATTTATGAGATAACGTAAAAGAAGCAACATGTTATTGGTCCTGAATTTTTTCAAATATTGTTCCTTCTGCCTGGCATCCATGGTCTCTTGAAACTTTCTCACATGTTGTATCTCAGTGCCTCATTTATAGTACCTGGTACATAGTAAGTAGTAAATATTTTTGAAAGTAAAGCAGGCAGGGCAAAAACAGAAGCAGTTGAACACAATAGGCAGCTAATCTCCCTCAAATACATTGTCTAAAATCAGGGAAGGTAAGTAATAAGGTAATTACAATACATGGTAGGTGCAAGGATAGTGTTAATTACAAGATACTAGTAAGATTATGCTCAAAATACTTCAAGCTAGGCTTCAGCAGGACATGAACCCAGAACTTCCAGATGCACAAGCTGAGATTAGAAAAAGCAGAGGAACCAGCAATCAAATTACTAACATTCGTTGGATCATAGAGAAAGCAAAAGAATTCCAGAAAAACATCTGCTTCTGCTTCATTGACTACATGAAAGTCTTTGACTAGCATGGATCACAACAAACTGGAAAATTTCCAAAGAGATGGGAATAACAGACCACCTTACTTGTCTTCTGAGAAACCTGTATGTGGGTCAAGAAATAACAACCGGACATGGAGCAATGAGCTGGTTCAAAATTGGGAAGAGTATGACAAGGCTGTATATTGTCACCTTGTTTATTTAACTTACATGCAGAGTTATGCAGAGTAGATCATGTGAAATGCTGGGATGGATGACTCACAGACTGGAATCAAGATTGCCAGGAGAAGTATCAACAACCTCAGATATGTAGATGATACCCCTCTTCTGGCAGAAAGTGAAGAAAAACTAAAGAGCCTCTTGATGTGGGTGAAAGAGGAGAGTAAAAAAGATTATTTGAAATTCAGCATTCAAAAAACTAAGATCATGGCATCTGGTTCCATCCCTTCATTGTAAATAGAAGGAGAAAAAGTGGAAACAGTGACAGATTTTATTTACTTGGGCCTCAAAATCACTGTGGATGGCGATGGCAGACATGAAGTTAAAAGACACTTGCTCCTTGGAAGGAAAGCTATGACAAATCTAGGTGCAGTGTATTAAAAAAGCAGACATATCACTGCCAACAAAGATGTGTATAGTCAAAGCTATTATTTTTCCAGTAATCATATATAGATGTGAGAGTTGGACCATAAAGAAGGCTGAGCACCGAAGAAACGATGCTTTCAAATTGTAGTGCTGGAGAAGACTCTTGAGGGTCCTTTGGACTGCAAGGAAATCAAACCAGTCAATCTTAAAGGAGATCAACCCTGAATATTCATTGGAAGGACTGATGCTGAAGTTGAAGCTCCAATACTTTGTCCACCTGACGCAGAGCCAACTCATTGGAAAAGACCCTGATGCTGGGAAAGATTGAAGGCAAAAGGTAGAGGAGGCAGCAGAGGATGAGATGGTTAGACAGCATCACCAACTCAATGAACATGAAGTTGAGCAAACTCCAGGAGATAGAAGGACAGAGGAGACTGGTGTGCTACAGTCTGTGAGGTTGCAAAGAGTCAGACACAACTTAGTGACTGAACAGCAGCAACAAGATTACATAATATTTNTTCAGTAGTAAATCCCTAAGTGGAATTCAAAAGTGGACCTTTCTAGTGTTAGATTAAGTTTTGCCATATTATGACTGTTTTTTGTCTATTTGTTTGTTTATATTATTCCAATAGGCCCATGAAAAGAAACACTAAAAGACTAATGCTGAATTTATGGGTACTTTTTTATAACTGGTGTGAGTTTGATGTCACACCAAGAACCTACTTTTGGTAACTCCCTGGTGCTGTAAGTCAAGTTAAGGAAACAAAAGGTATATGATCAAAGGCCCAATTATCAGAGTTCTCCCAGTGCTTAACTTACCTTGATTGAATATATGTAAGAGATCTTATGAAGGCTGACTGAACATCTAACTGAAGCAGCATAGGAATATCTGGGTACCCACCCAGCTGGGCCCAGAGAGAATGCATTGATGTCTTCTCTGTTATTGGGTAACTCGAAGTGGATAGATCTGCATTCCAGATGGCTTGCAGTTGGTCGTCTTTTCTAGAGAATCAGAGAGCACCCCTTAAGCATCAAACTCTCACGAGCTCCAAAGCCATTCAAGATATAATTCCTATTCTCCTCCCTTCTCTTCACCACCACCCTGTCCTATAGAGCTCCCCCTGGCACTGAGGAACTTTAGTTACGGTCACTTCAACTGAGAGATGGGTTAAAATAGCAGAATTTGCAGAAATAGCTTTTTTTTTTTTCCTGAAAGTTGCCTTTCCATGACTTCATCTACTAATATATTTTAAACAACTTTCTTAGCTTCATGGAGTACACATTCCATATTCAGGCTATTGCCCCACCTCCACAACAACCTTTTCCCTTTCTTTCCCAAAGTTTCTACCTTTTTTTGTTTTCTTTAAGAAAATGTTTCTAAGTTTCTTCATTGTGTAAATTGAAATAATTTGTTTCTTACTAATGAAGAATCAACTTCATTTTTTTAAAGGAACTCAAAACTAGATGCTAAATTTTTAAGTAGAAATAAGCCTTTTGCAGACTAGCTAAGAAAATTAATACTTGCACCACCATTATCCACTGCACCATATCAAAATTGTGGAGAAGAGGAATCTCTTGGGCAGAAAAAAAAGCATTAGTTTCCATTTATTATCCAAAGAAAGTTTAATGTAAGTCTTTCCTACCACACACCTAAATTTATTGAGAATGTTATACTTCCTTTTGTCTTCTTTCAGTAGCTTTAGGTATGGCTGTTGAACAGATTTGGTAGAGGCAGGTATTTGCTTTTTTTCAATGACCAAAGGGATAGGTTGATCAAGATTCAATTTATATGCCTCTTGAAGCTAAAAGTAAATAAATCAGAAAAAGGAAATCATGAAAAGAAAGGGCCAAAGTCTTTAGGATGATCTTCTGAGCTGGCACTTAGCTAAACTATGACATATTTCCTCTTCCAAATTCTCTTTCTCCATGCCTTTTCTCCCTTCCTCCAACCACTCCTCAATCTGTACCCACCTCCAACACAATTTCAGAGTTGGCAGTTATTAATATATAAAGACCATGGTCCTGCTTTAAGTTCTAGTTTTAGTTCTCTCATTTCCTAGCTTTGTGACTTTGGGTTAGTTGCCAATTTTATTGGCACCTCTTTCTTCTCATTTCTAAAACAAGGATAATAATACAAGGTTGTTGTGAGAGTTGTATAATATGTTTGGAAAACTTCACAAATTGTGAAGAAGCACTGTGCAAATGTAATGATAGCTAACACTGACTGTCAGATGCTTTCTATATGTTAACTTGCCTGCAGTGTGGGAGACCCAAGTTCGATCCCTGGGTCAGGAAGTTCCCCTGAAAAAGGAAGTGGCAACCCACTCTAGTATTCTTGACTGGAAAATCCCATGGGCGGAGGAGCCTGTGGGGCTACAGTCCATAGGGTCGCAAAGAGTCGGACACGACTGAGCAACTTCACTTTCACTTTCATTAATATTTACAGCCTTATGAGATAGGTGCTATTATTATCCTTGTCTTACATATGGGGATATGAAGCTTAGAAAATTTAAGTAGCTTGCCCAAGGTCTCTTAGCTAGTATGTAGTAAAGCCAATCTGGTAGCAGAACCAACTTCTTGACCACCATTTTGATTCAGTGTAAGGTATTTATGCATTTCTACCCTTTCACTCCTTTTGTTTTTCCCTCTCCTTTCGTAATACCTTCATACCTACTTCATTATCCAGATTCTAGCTTTCCTGACCCCAGACCTTTATTCATCTTTTGAAATGCCCTAGACATTGTCATTCCTGTTAGACAGCTCATGACATTGCCAATTCATCTTGCCTTACTCCATCTACATTGGTCATATTTTTCAAACCCAGGACTGTCAAAAATATTCATGTTTAAGGTGAGAGGGTTTTAATATTTATATGTTGTAGCTTGTAATTTCTGGAGAGTTCCCTGATGGACTAGTGGTTAGAATTCTAGGCTTTTGTTCCAGGCCTGGGTTCAATCCCTGGTTGGGAAACATATCCTGCAGGCTGTGTGGCATGACCAAAAAAAAGTAACTTCTAAAAAATTCATAACACGTCTATAATGAGAAATTTCTCTGTACCTTCTAGAATAGCAAGTAAGCTAATCTTATTAATTAATTACTTGAGTAAAACAGAATGACGTATAGATAGAAAATATTCCTAGAACTCCAAAAACATTCCAGAGCTGCACGCTGGAGAAAGTAAGGGCAGCGTTTAATTCCAGAGCAAAGAATTCTAATCTCAGCTTTGTAACTTTTGGAAGGTCACTATCACTTCCAAAAGCAATACTGATGGTTATCAGAGTGAATTCACCCATTCACATTGGGTGAATGTCAGAGTTTAACAGGATCTTCTGTGCCTGGTACTCTGTAAGCAAGTTAATTAACTCTTATCTCCTTTTTTGTAAATGCTTGATACTAAAACTTGCTTTCTGATAGTTTTGAGGAAAGAAGTAAATACCAAGAATCATTTGGAGAGCAATGACTTCAAGAGGTTTCATATCTAGAGGTGTGGGTTGACTAGGAAGGAGCTGAGCATTTCTGGAAGTCTCTCCCATTCTTATAGGCTTCCAGGTGGTGTAGTGGTAAAGAATCTGCCGGCCAGTGTAGGAGATGCAAGAGATGCAAGTTCAAGCCCTGGGTTGGGTAGATCCCCTGGAGCAGGAAATGGCAACCCACTCCAGTATGCTTGCCTGGGAAATCCCATGGACAGAGGAGCCTAGCAAGCTATAGTCCATAGGGTTGCAAAAGAGTTGACACGACTGAGCAACTAAACACCACCATCAATAGATATAATTAAGTTAAGGATCTCAAGATGAGGTCATGCTGGTTTAATCAGATGGGTCCTAAATCCAATGATACATTGGCTTTATAATAGGAAAGAACAAAAAACACACTAGACAGAAGGCCACGGAAAAGACAGAGGCAGAGACTGGAGTTATGCAACGACAAGCCAAGGAATGCCAAGGATTGCCTATAGCCACCAGAGTCTAGAAGAGAAGCTTGGAACAAATTTCTCCCTCAGAGTGTCTAGAAGGAACCAAACCATAAGAGAATACATTTCTGTTGTTTTTAAGCCATGAAATTTGTAATATGTTAACAGCAGCACAGGGAACTAATATATATGGTATCTCTAGGAAACTGTTATTAATATTTTCAAAACCTGCCCCTCTCACTTTTCTTACAACAGATTGGGGAGAGGAAATAGAAAACAGATTACCTGGTTGAATAAGTACATCATTTTCCTTAGGCACCGATTGCGTTTCTGCTCTAGGGAATTCTGCTTCTCTGTCCAGATCTGCATCACCTTTTTTTGATAATCATCAATCCTCTTCAGCATTATGTAGAGGTTCTGGGTCTCATAACTGCTTCCAGTATTCTGGATGGCTTGTAATCGTTTAATTATGTTGTTTCTTGGAAAAATGAACAAGAATTAGGTTGATAAAATTACTGACACTAACTCAGCAAACCTGGCCTCAGTTACTTTCCATTCTCATCTCATCCTTAGTAAGTAGAGATGGTAGAGGGGTGGCAGTCTTGCTTAATGTGACCTTAACCTAGTTCCCTATATGACTAAACTTTCAAAACTCTATATGACTGTCAAATTTTCATTTAACTCCTCACAGAGTTTTTAGTGTTACAGTAGTGCTTATTATTTTTTAAGGAAAGTGAAGTCGCTCAGTCGTGTCAGACTCTTTGTGACCCCATGGACTGTAGCCTACCAGGATGGAAAATCCATCCATGGGATTTTCCAGGCAAGAGTACTAGAGTGGGTTGCCATTTCCTTCTCTTAAAATACAGTAATATTTTAGTAATGATATATGTAAGACATATAGAAGGTATTTAATACCTTGAAAAAGACAAGTGTCCTTGCCTTCAAAGCACTTACAAGCCAGGTTAGAAGACTCATAAAAATTAACTGTGTTAGAGAGAGAATGAAATAACTGCTAAATAGCAGTTGATCTGTTTGAACAAAAAGGAAAATGTAATTAATTCTAACAAGAGGAATAAAGAAGGCTCCATAGGAAAATGTTGAATAAGATCTGGAGGATGTAGTACTCTGTTTTTTGTGCCACAACATTTGGACCTAGATATTTTTTTTGCCATCCCCATTCTACAGGAGAGGAAAAGGAATCTGAACGAGTTTTCAGGAGTCACATAATTAATTAATAACAGATTTGGGAAGCAAACCCAGATCTTTCTTTCCACAATACCAATATTCTCAAAGTGTGGACCCTGATCACATGGACTGATTCATCTTGTGGGGAGGAGGGAGGGTGGTACTTGTTGAATATGCAGATTCCAGGGTACCACCCCAAGACCTTTTGAATAAAAAAGCTTGGTGGTAGGCTTCAGGATCTGTATTTTAAACAAAATCTCAGGCAAACCTTACAGCCACTAAAGTCTGAGAAAAAGAGGATGAAGAATTCCAGATTGAGGGACTACTATAAATACAGGCAAGACAATGAAAGTTGTATTTTAGGGATTTCCCTGGTGGTCCAGTGGCTAAGGCTTCATGCTCCCAATGCAGGGGGCCTGGGGTTCGATCCCTGGTCAGGGAAGTAGATCCCACATGCTGCAACTAAGACCCAACACAGTCAAAGAAATAAATAAAAACCAATATTATTAAAAAAAAAAAAACACCTTTAATCTTAAAAAATGGAATAACTCTTAGGTCTCCTTTACGTGTTATAATTAATAGCTTAGAATGTACTGCATATGTGGATCATTTCATACTTAAATATACTAGCTTTCTGAATTATTTCATTTTAAATTAATTTTCCAATAGCCTTAGGGTTTTTTTTTCATATCCCATGGGTGATTTTTATTTTTCTACTTCTATGATCTTTATTACATGTGTTTTTTTCCAGTTTTTTTAAATTGAAGTATAATTGATCTACAATGTTGTGTTACAGCAAAGTGATATATATACATGTGTATAAATAGTATAAATATTATAAATGTATTTACATAGTCTCCTTCAGATTCTTTTCCATTATAGGTTATTACAAGATATTAAACATAGTTCCCTGAGATTACATGCATTTTTAATCACATGTAATCATACACATGCATCTCCTGTATCATTTCTCCATGTGTTACCAAATTCCTATCACATCCATTCCTATAATAAAGGTGTTCTCAATGAAGCAATTGGGTAACATTCTAATAACCATATTTCATATGTATTTGAGATATAAGTGACTGTGTATATTTATAATTGAGGTATTTTATATTTATATAAAATTAAGATATAAATTTAAACTAAGTTTAAGGTGTATAATGTGTTGATTTGATGATACATTTATATACTGCAATATGATTACCACTGTAGTGTTAGCTAATCCCTCTATCATGTCACATAATTATCATTTCTTTCCTGTGATGAGAAAAATTAAGATCTGGTCTCTTAGCAAATTTGAAGTTTACATAGTTTTTTGTTTGTTTGTTTGTTTGTTTTTTGCTGCACTGGGTCTTCATTGCAGTACATGGGTTCTTGGTTGCAGTGCATGAGATTCTCTAGCTGTGGAGCACTGGCTTAGTTTCCCCTCTGCAAGTGGAATCTTAGTTCCTGGGCCAGGGATCAATCCTGTGTTCCCTGCATTGGAAGATGGATTCTTAAACACTGAACCACCAAGGAAGTTCCTATAAATACAGTGTTGTTGACTATAATCACTATGCTATGTATTAGATCTTCCCAATAAGTTTTATTTTTCACATCAAATCTTTCCTGCTGTTTTTCTCCCTATTCACAGTCTTTCAGACTTTTCCCGTGGTTTTCCCTTATTGAAATTATATGTCCCAACTTGGAAAACTTTGCAGTTTCATTTCAAACTTAGAGATTATATTGTTTATGTGTTTTAAAATATAATTCAATATCTAATCACCCAGTCAAATAGCAACCACTGAGGTATCTCATTATTGAAAATTTTCTATCTAGAAACATTTTTGTTCATTTCTTCCTACCATTTGTTCTCACTCTTTTAGCAAATTGTACTTGTATTGATAAAATACTGCCCTCATTCTAATAAATATTTTATAGAATTTGATATAAAATTATGATTCAAAGGAAGGTGCTTTAACATTTACTGAGCATCTACTATGCATCAATCATTGTGCTGGAGATGTTATTTCTATTTTAAAATTTATGTTAAAACATTTTAATAGTTTAAAGTATATTATTTCATTTAATCATCACAATCATTCTTTGAAGTATATATCATTACATCATCAGTTTTACAAATTTGAGTCAGCACATTAAAATCTTGGAGACGTTCAGAACTAGAACCTCGAACCAAGCTCTTCCTGACATTAAAGAGAAGATATGACTAAGATGTGGATATAAAAACTATTACTGCCCTCCTACACTGTCAATGGGAATGTAAATTGGTATAGGCACTATGGAGAACAGTATGGAGTTTTCTTAAAAAACTAGAAATAGAGTTACCACATGATCCTACAATCCCACTCCTGGGCATATATCCAGAGAAAACTCTAATTTGAAAAGATACATGCACCCAGTGTTTATAGAAGCACTATTTGCAGTAACCAAGATATGGAAGCAACCTAAATATTCATCAACAGATGAATGGATAAAGATGTGGTATATATATATATATGAATATTACTCAGCCATAAAAAGTGAAATGCCATTTGCAGCATTTGGATGGACCTAGAGATTATCATCGGAGAAGGCAATGGCACCCTACTCCAGTACTCTTTCCTGGAAACTCCCATGGACAGAGGAGCCTGGTAGGCTGCAGTCCATGGGATCCCTAAAGTCAGACACGACTGAGCGACTTCACTTTCACTTTTCACTTTCATGCATTGGAGAAGGAAATGGCAACCCACTCCAGTGTTCTTGGCCTGGAGAATCCCAGGGACGGG